TCATCATCATCATCATCATCATTACTGATGATGGACAAACATTCATGGCATGTCATTGTAAACTCTATCTCGGATGCGTCCGCTGAGTAGTAGTAGTAGAGAAATTTGACATTTTACTAATGAATTTACTATGAAAAAGTCTTCTACTTTTTTTTTACTTCTATTTGCGATCTAATTTTCTGTCAGACTATTTTGTATCATCTACAGGATGCCAACTTGTCTTCCTGGCATCATATTTCATTTCATCAGAACGGGGCAACATATTTCATTTCATCAGAACGGGCCAACATGAACTGCTGTCACACCATGATCCACGTAATTTTGGAATCATCATAGTTATTGTTGAGTTCATTTTCAAAGAGATAACCGCCTGCCACGTTCCCTCACGCTAATTTCACAGGATGGTAAAAAGTGGGCATCGCATGCTTGCCAACCAGAATCGTAATATCCTGGATGGAGACCTGCTGTGGAAGTTCTTACACCTGAGCATGGGTGAACGCACAGAGCTGTGCAAGAAGATCGGTACGACATCGGACCAAGTGAGTAGCTTTGAAAATAATCAATAATCAATAATCAATCTACCTAACCACAGCGGCAACACTGGTGGTGGTGGTAGCGGCAACACTGGTGGTGGTGGTAGCGGCAACACTGGTGGTGGTGGTAGCGGCAACACTGGCCGTGGTAGCTGCAGTGGTGGTGGTCGTTACGGCGGCAGTGGTGGTGGTGGTCGTTACGGCGGCAGTGGTGGTGGTGGTCGTTACGGCGATAGTGGTGGTCGTTAAGGCGGTAGTGGTGGTCGTTGTTACGGTGGCAGTGGTGGTGGTCGTCGTTACAGCGGCAGTGGTGGTGGTGGTCGTTACGGCAGCAGTGGTGGTGGTGGTCGTTACGGCAGCAGTGGTGGTGGTCGTTACGGCGGCAGTGGTGGTGGTCGTTGTTACAGCGGTAGTGGTGGTGGTCGTTGTTACAGCGGTAGTGGTGGTCGTCGTTACGGCGGCAGTGGTGGTCGTCGTTGTTACGGCGGCAGTGGTGGTCGTCGTTACGGCGGTAGTGGTGGTGGTCGTCGTTACGGCGGCAGTGGAGGCGATGGTGGCGCGGCAATACTACGCATTATGTTTTATTTCTCATTTAAAACCTCCTCCTCCTCCTCCTCCTCTCTCTCCTGAGAAATAATTGTATCCAGAATGGGGCGGTGAGCTTCTACCCTGAAGGCGTCTCTCGTGTTTCCACTACTACGTTCTACGACAGAAGACCTATAACCCTGTGGGCACTATCGTTTGACGTTTGCTGTTTCGCGTGATTTGCTCACCGTCTACTGTTATTGGAGTATTTACTATTTAGCCAGATAATTATAATTTGTATTCTACTAAATAGATTCACGTCCTTGCTGATTGGTTCGAAGTTTCTCTATTTGATCCTTTAGTCTAAAAAAAACCACAGATGTATCACAGTTGAAGTTCTAAAGTGTACAGAAAATTCCCCAGGAAATTGTGAAAATGTACATCGCAGGAGATGGTATGTGAGGCACTTTTGAGTAAAGTTACAGCCTTCATTCTGACTACGACAATTATCTTTTTAGTAGAACTATTCTCTTCATGAGCAACAAGATGTGATCACTAGAGATCACTATAACTAATCGTGTAATTTTCGTTTTATTTTATCAAGACATGTTGAACTAACGCTCTCTTTCTCACTCTCCCTCTATGTGTGCGTGCGTGCGTGCGTGCGTGCGTGCGAGGCGAGCGTGCGGGGGAGTGTATGCGTGTGCGGGTGCGGTGCGTGGGCGCGTGTGTGTGCTCAAACACAACACATCATCATTGCACATCACATCACATCACGATCACGACATTGTTTGACATTGTCTTATTTGTTTATAAACAATTTAGTCTGACTGACTGACTCTCTCTCTCTCTCGCTCTCTCTCTCAGCGCCTTTCTCTCTCTCTCGCTTCTCTCTCTCTCCCTGGCAATAAAAATAATTTTGGGTGAAGATGATTTTTTGTGAGCAATGCGTATCTGCGTTGTGGTAGCTACGCGCCTGTAGGCCTCGTATCCGAGTGTTATGCCGCTTCAAACCGGAGGAAGCGGAGGGGTTATCAAAACTCTCACCCCTTCTCGCTCTCTTTTTTTCGCCCCTTCCCTGTCGTTGTCTCTCTCTTTTCTTCTCTGTCTCTTTCTCTCTCTCTCTCTTTCTCTCTGTCTCTCTTCCTTTCTCATTCATTTTCTCTCGCTTGCTTTCTCTGTCATATATCCACCGCTTATCGACCGAAACTGATAGAAGTCCTTCTAGAATGCGTCTAGACACTGTGCCCCATGCACGTGGCGCACAATGTCCAATCGCGAACCGACGACGGCTAATAAAGGCTAGGTACGAGCACCTATAGGCCTATACCCACGCCCACACACACTCATATATAATAGTAAACATATAATATATGAAAACCTACGATATTACGCACATGAACACGTAATTGCGATACGGCCGGATTACCGCACCTTAACTTAACAGGGGGCAGTACAAAAACGGACAGGCAACTGAAGAGTTAGTTATTTGCAATCAACTCGCTAGTGCGCTGAACATCTGTTTAATTTAACAAGCACTAATCTACGAAATATACAACGCCGTGATCGAGTGAAGGTAAGTGTTTATATCTTATAAAGGCTGTGTGCATTAAAAACAGTAATGAAACGTTCATAACTAGTGATGTTACGTCATACAGTTGTTAGAACTATAAAAGTTGCATGATGCACATTCGCGCGATATGGTGTCTTCTTTGTAAGATTCATATTAAGTTGTGTACGTGTGTGTGTGTGTGTGTGTGTGTGTGTGCGTGCGTGCGTGCGTGCGTGCGTGCGTGCGCGCGTGCGTGCTTGTGTTGTTTGCGCGTGTTCCAGGGATTTTAACGCGTAACGTCTGTTTGCGAAGCCTATGATGCAGAAACGATGGCAGCGTGTTTAGCTGGACGTCCGTATAAGCAGTAAATGTGGTCAGTGTACATTGATGCTATGTCTTTCTCCGTTGCTGTGCTGAGAGTGGATAAAACAAAATCAGTTGATACAATCGAAGCACTGAACCAAATCTTCTCAATTAACGGATTTCCAGATACGATTGAAACAAACAACGGGCCGTAATGTGTCATAGGAGTTTGAGCGATGCGATGTGCAACTGGGCATTCATATTATCACTTCGCCAACATTTCGGAAGTACTATTTGTAACGGGAGAAAGTGTGAAACGAAAATTTTATATTAGGTCAACGCCATCAGCGGTCGTAAACGCCCACCTACACAAACCAAAACGCACACACGCGCGCGCGTAAATTCCTTAATTTTATCATCTAATCAATTAATTTCTTATCTTACAGGTATCACCGCGACGCTACATCTTATAAGCTAAGGTCTACGCTATGCAAGCTACTAGTGTAAACCCAAAAACAATGACACTGGTACATAGGAGCTTACATCTATTCCTGATTGCCCTGTGTTTCTTATATCAGTGCAAATCATCGTTAGCGGTTGTATCAGGAACGGACCTGCATGCTGCCATCCTCCGATCCGCCAAATACCAGTATTATAGCGACAGTTTTGAACCGCGTTTTCGCGGAGTGCCGCAACCATATGCTCACAATCAGCAGGAGGTTGTGGTTCAAGTAAAGCCCCCAAGGCATTTCCTCACGCGGCCCGTACCGTACGTTAAGGGGACGCGGTCGCTGCTTCTATCGACGATGACGCGACAAAGCCGTGACATATTGGATAGCATCAAGTCGCGAGTTTTGCGTGACCACCGCGCGCGCATGAATGATCGCCTACTTACTAGTCCCTCGCGTCGCAGTGACGTCGTCGTTTCGGAGAGGACGCCACAGGGGCCGACGCTATCTGTGGTAAACCCACTCTCGATTCTTCGCAAACAGCTGAATCTGGAGAGCGCGCGGCGTATGCTAGCATCGATGAAACATAAACTTGCCACGAACAGTGAGATACTCGGCAACATCGGCAAGAGATGCGACGTCGTTCGTCGATACGTGTATCCGTTCAACAGGTGCGTTTAATCCAGCCTGTTTGCGTATAACAATTGCTGCATCGGGCGCACTCTACTTGTAGTTTACGCGTCTGTCTGTACACAACACGCACAGTACTGTTTAGCTTTAAAATACTATTAACACTCATTTTGTGCGGAATCCACTGAAACTTGTCAAAATTTGACAAAAGCCCGAAAATTGTCAATTTAGGATGGTTTTACGTTTTCTTGAGAATAAAGGAAGTTTGTTCTGCAAAAAATAACCCGTGTAACCAAGTTTCTGTCCCCTTTATCCGATAAAAATAACGTGCGTAAGAAGGTTTATTCAACGACACATGTCGTTTAAGCGATTTGGCCGTTTATTCAACCCGATAGAACGGGGCTCTAGAAATCAACGAGCCTTTGTGAGCTCCGCTACCGAGACATTTGCAGGTTGGTTTAATAGTTCCTAACAAGCAGGCACTGCAGTTGACGATAAGCAAGTCAAATGCAGGAAATGTGTTCCTTAAATCTGTGTATATGTATTCAATATTTTCCGGGGCCGGGACGGGCTAGAGAGAGAGAGAGAGAGAGAGAGAGAGAGAGAGAGAGAGAGAGAGAGATTGATAGCCAAATAGATTGATAAGTAGTTAGGTGGAGGGAGAGCGAGCGAGAGCGCGAGAAAGAAAGCAAAGAGAGAGGGAGAGAGACCGAGGAGGGAGAGGGGAGAGCGAGAGAGACGAACGATGGACAGGGGCGAAAGGAATAGACGAAGAAAGGAAGTGAGAGCGAAAGAGAGCGCGCGCGAGAACGAAAGCGAGAGTGAGAGAAAGTAATTGTTCATGTGTGGGCGTGTATGTGCGCATGTGTGGGCGTGTATGTGCGCGTGTGTGGGCGTGTATGTGCGCATGTGTGGGCGTGTATGTGCGCGTGTGTGGGCGTGTATGTGCGCATGCGTGGGCGGGGAAAAGAGAGACGGACTATAAGCAGCATGCGTTATGTGCATTATAATTTTGCTTTACGTCCTTGATCGTTTCAAGTATCGTATAGGAGGAGTAGTAGTATTCCTATAGTGTACAGCACGCCGGTTTCATTCATAACGTCACCTATAGCTGCTGACACACTATCTCCGATGCTGTTGCGTATTCTTGGTAACATGGAGAGAGCGACAGAGAAAGAGAGCGAGAGAGAGAGAGAGAAGGGAAGGGATGAAGGTAAAAATGGCACGTAAACGTTCTTTATTCGCCAAGAATTCGTCTGGCTATAGTGCTATTGATTGTGTTGAAATTTCAATCAATCAAACCCTGAATGTGATACACGTAATAGGAAAATATCCAAGCTCAAATATTTATGCTTTGTTGACCTGGTGTCATAACGGGGTGATAGCATAATTTTAAATATTTTATCTTCTGACATATAGCTATAGATCCAACACTTCACCGCTGTAATAAAGTCATATTCGGTATCACGTTGTTAGACCATAAAGTTGTGGATGTTATTACAATAAAACACGTATTGTAGTGGGAAAAGGTTGTTGTTTTCTCCGCT